AAATGTTGAGTTGCCTGATAGATATGACAAATGTGAAAAGTAATTACAGAAAGGAGATGGACGTATTTGACATAGTAAGACAAGTTCTGAGTGTATGTACTTCTCTTTCATTGCGGAGAAAGTGGATGTGGAGGTTTTTTAGACCAAAAAAAACCATTGAAACCTATGTTACTTGAACTCTTCAAAAATGTCGAGCGTGTGAATCCTCCAAAAATAGTGTACTAAGGATCCGACATGGGTGCGACAATATTTTTGGAGAGTCCGAACAACATAGTTGAAACAAGAGGATGAAGCGAAAAAATCCTAATGCAAGAATTCCAAAAACCAGAACAGATGAGTAATTGCCTACCCGTTTCACTTGGCCAAAACAAGCTCTGATTTATGAAGTTGTGAGTGAATCTCGTAATGCTTTTCTTTTTTTAATGATGGTGAAGGTCGGGCCAACTTGCGTGCGCCTCGGCTATTCCATCGGGTACCTGCCAGCTCCCACTAGCACAAGTATCAGTAACTCTGACTACCGAGGCTTAGGTAGATTTGAATCCGAGACCTCATGATTCTCCTCTTACTTCATTGACCTCTAGAGCACACCCTTGGGTGCAATCTCGTAACGCTTTTAAGTGAAAAGAAAATGTCTTGTTGGAGAAAACAACAAATACATTAAGTCTTTATCAATTTTACAACAACTAAAATCTTTTACTAATGTGTTGATCCTGTAGTGGTCTATGAATTTCCTGAAGACCTGTACCCTTTAGGGTGATCATTGTTGCTGAAACTGATAAGTGCTTGATTAGTTATACTGTTTCACTTAAGAAATCCTAACACTGAGTTTGTGACTCTAGTTGCTATTTATTTCCATTTCCTTTTCTTTATTCATTTGTTTCTAGGTTCATTACTATATCACTACACCCCCTTGTTAGGCATCTAATCCTCTATAAGGAGTTTGCATTGATTAGGCAGTTTTAGTTATATGAAGCTAACATAGTGTTATTGTCTCTATTTCTCAATTCAGGTCCTAATTCTGCAGAGGCCTTGTTGAAAAAAGATGATAACATTACGTCATCAAAAAAGAAAGATGATCACATGAATGTAGTTGCTTGTAATAAGAACATGGGATCATATCTTGCTGCGGTGACTCTTGATGTCATCTGGATTGTTTTTCCAGCCATTTTATGTTTAACTGTAAGTGTTCTCCGTCTGTGTTATAATACTAACAGTGGTTATGTTTCATTTTTATCAAGTCAAATTAGTGAAGCAATAAGTTTTCTATTTGTTTTGACATCTGAATGAATATGAAAAAAGATTTAGTTGTTGACTTATTATTTTATTTCTAGTCATTTGTTGATGTAGTAGTTGTTTCCTACGTGCTAAATGATCTTAAGTTTTGACAACTTCATTTAATACCTGATATACATAATAGATAAAATAACCATTCGATCTCAGATTCTGGCAGATTGGACATATATTAATGCAGTTGTGATGACCTTGTTGGTGGCTTTCTTCATTGTAGCTAGAAGGTGATCAATCACATAATTCATATCTGATATCCAGAATTCTATCGCCATTCCATTAACCTGTTTACATGTATTTCATGTGGCTTCTTGTATGTTAAAGTACTTCATGTTCAATGCAGATCTGGATTTTCTGTTTCTCAGGAAGAGGGGGTCCGATCTCTCAGGACAAATATATCTGCATATAGGGTTTCTATGGTATGCAGAAAAATCATTATTTACATAATGCTTTCATCTACTTTAATCACCTTGCATTTCTGGAGTTACTATTTATGTCTTTAGGGATGATTGCTGCAGAATCTTCTGACATGCGTATGTATTCTGGCTGTCGACTTCAAGATATTTCCTAGAAGATATGCTAAAACAGAGACCTATGGTACTGGCTTGGTAAACTACTATCTGGATTCTATTGCCATACTTTTGCGTGCATGCACTGAAGTGTCGCTTGAGTGATGCGGAGCACCCCAACCTGCAGTTTGCTTAGTTATAAGACTTATAGCCTGTTTGGCCAAGCTTCTAAAATCAACTTATTTTGAGAAGTGCTTTTCTAAAAAGTACTTTTGGTGAGAAGCAGTTTGTGTTTGGCTAATTAATCTGAAAAGTACTTTTGAGTAGTAATTAGTGTTTGGCCAAGCTTTTGAAAACTGCTTCTAAGCATATTTTTCTCAAAAGTGTTTCTCAGAAAAGTGCACTTTTGGAGAGAAGCTACTTTTTTCTGCTTCTCAAAAACTGCTTCTGCTTCTCCTCAAAAGCACTTTTTTTCCTTATGAAAGGCCAAACTTTTGGCCCCCAAAAAAGCTTGGCCAAACAAGCTATTAAACGCAGTTCTAGTGATCTTTTAACTAAACTGGAGCTAGGTTTTAGATTTCATCAGTTTATTATTTTCATTGCATCAAGTTTCTTTAAGAATCTACAAAAGTAGGATTGAGCTATCCTTAGCAAATCTGTGTTTGACAGTTAAACCATTGTAAGATTAAGGGTTATTTCTGGAAGGAACAGAATGGATGATTTGGTGCTATTGTTTCTAGAATAAACAAGGAGTGTTCTATGTCATTGCTAGTGTTACTCTATATACACTCATGATGTTCCAAATATAGCAAGTTACCTCGTATGGTTCTAAATTTTGATTCTTCTGTCTCATTTTAGACATTGACATGTTAAACGAATCCGGGGTAGCTTTTCACAAAAATGGCTTATTTGAAGTTGTCATAATGAAAGTTCTTTTCTCGATTCTTCCTTCGTTTTTTATCTCTTCCTACTTTAATCAGTTTCACAATATTGAGCTCAACATCATTGATTCATTGTCTCTGTTTAAGTTCTTCATACTGGTTGGCAACTTAATACTTTGTCATGAAACTTTTACGTAATGTAAAATGGAGCTGAAAATAGGCACCTTATGTTTACCTTCTTATGTCAGATGGACATTGGAGTAGGTTCGTTTATTGTGGCAAATGCTTTGGTTTCACGGCAAGCACGTGGAATTGCAAAAATGTAAGTGATGATTCTCGATTTGAATTTTGATCATGAACTTGTAGGTGGTGCTATATAGTTTGGCCTGTTTCTCTTAAGAGTATTCAGGCTATTACTCCTATATTCTCTCTGTAGCAACCAAGCTAGCTACTTGTACCTGTAAATGAACCATGTCAAGATTGCTGGTGGAAAGCAAAAGAAAAATAAATACAGCGCCGAATGAATTGTTACTTGAACTGTCTTTTCCCTTGCCATGCTTTGATGTTTTCCCCTAGTTTATTTGTTGCACGCTCAGTTTATGGCTAACTGATAAGAGTTGAAAATTCTTGGACTTTATCAGCTTTATAGTATTGTAATAGCTTTTTGTCCTTCCTTGGAGCTGATATCTCCTTTTCTTTTGTAATCATTGCATCTTCTGGATGCCTTTTAATTAATACACAACTTACTTCATCCAAAAAAAAAAAAGATAAGAGTTGAAAATAGCACCACTTAATCACGCGAGTAGGTCAAATTTTTATAGTTAAGTTTGCACCTAGAAAGCTTCAATGGTAACTCAATAATTATGCCCTTAATAAAGAATGTGGATGCCTAATGAATTTTTTTTCTTTTAATTAAGTAATGCAATAAAACCTCGACATGTTCATCCTCACTAACAACTTGTTTGGATGGTTGTTATCCATTGTATCGTATTGTATTGTTACCCTAAAACAATGTTTGTTTTGATTGTTTCATTAAAATTGGTTGTATTGTATTGTTAACTCCATTGTTCAAGAACAATGAAAAGTCCCATTTTTTGAAACAACCGATTTGGTGTGGTGGGATTGTTTCCTATATTTCTTTCCAATTATGCCTTAACTTACAATAACAACAACTACCACCCAGTATAATCCCACAAGTGGGGAATTATGCCTTAACTTATTACTCCATAATTCTATTTTACCCTTTACCTTTTTTTATTTTAACTCCAAATCTCCAATCTATAACCTAGTTTGTCTTAGTCCCTTTTGTTCCATAACTTCTACCGCTTCTAACTCCAACGTAAAAGCTATAGGTTTTGCCTTCTTTTTTTTCCGTTTTTTCTCCTAATGTGATTTTAACTCCAATTCTAATTGCTTTAACTCCAATTCTTTGTTCCCTTGTTCTGCCAATTCTCGATCCTTTCTTTATCATAGTTTTTTATTTTTTTTCTAATGATAGTTAAAGACATATTTGGTACAATCAGATCATGTTGTTTCATTCAGTACTTTAGAACTGTTATTTAATTTCTGGTCTGTAGTATCTGATTGATTCTCTTCTTTTACTCCTTTAATAGGCAGTTTTTTAATAATCTCTTATATTTTCCAGGAATTTGAGAAATGCAATTTCTTCAACTTGTCCACTTATAGTTCTGGGCTTTGCTCGAATCTTTTTCACATCAACTGTGGATTATCAGGTAAATGGAATCCTAATTCCTTTTTGTTGGGCCACTTCAGCCCGTGGTAATGGTGAATTAATAACTTGAAAGTAAAGTGTATCCAACCCCACCCTATATGGATACATGCACGAAATTACAAAGAAGCTTTCGAGAATGTCTCAACTTTGAAATTATGTTGTTTACTGGTGGTCCCCTTCCTTTGGTTGTCGTCATCCTTTGCAGTGTGGATAGCATGCTAAATGACTAGTAATAATCCTAGTGTTTAATTTTTTTATTTCTTTTATTTTAGTTGCACATTATGTTCTCAAAAATGACATGTCACCTTCTTAATTAGTGTACTGTCAAATTTGGCAACAGGATTGCCCAATGTTTTACTTGCATGGTGTAGCCCCTTCCATTGAATAGTGAAGCCAGAACAATAGTCATGTCAAAATTAAAATCAACAATCATCTCATAGAAACGAGACCTTTGGTTTAATGCTTTACAGTTCTATTTCACAAGATATTCTTCTTATTTTCCTATGTTTGGCTACAGCGATCATCATTAACTTTTCTCATCATATTGTTCTATCAAAATGGTAATTTTAGAAGGGTCCATAAGCTTCATAGTCTTCTAGTTTTGAACTTTCTCTCTGACGTTAACTTACCTATGTATGATTCTGTTTGTATGTTGGATTAAATGCATCATATGTCTGTACTAATGGTTACAGATGCTTCTCATGAAATATACCTGCAAAGTTACTATCATCCTTTCTTCATCTGCATTTGGTAGGCATTTCTTCAGTCTATATCACTTTCTATGTATTATAGCTGTTAGAAGTCACTCCCTTCCTCATCATAGGTTCACGTTGGTGAATATGGTGTGCACTGGAATTTCTTTTTCACTCTTGCTGCCGTGGCAGTTTTGACATCGATGATTAATCTTTCGCCAAGTAATTGTGGAATTCTGGGCTGGTTTATTCTATTAGGTATTGTTGCAACATCTCAAAAATTTGGGTACCTATGCTTTGTAAGCCTGTAACGTTCTTTGTCGTTTTAGGATATGAGGTCTTCTTGTTGCTTGGGCTAAATGAATATCTTCTTTCAAGCGAAAGAGGACCTGACATCATCAGCCAAAACAAAGAAGGAATTTTTAGCATTTTTGGTAAGTATTATAGTGAAGTAAAATCTTCATAAAAACATAAAATAAATTTGTGAAATGAAATTAGAGCACTCTCTCTCTCTCTCTCTCTCTCTCATGGTCTCTCGCCATGCGTTTGCTTACTCTCTTGTTCAGTTTTATGGTCTCGTTGTGTCTATTTGGAAATGCTTTGAGAGACTGGCTGGTTGCCCCTTTAAGTTTTTAACTTGGAATCACAAATTCCTACTTTATCTAGACTTGGGACTAGCTCACATAGGTGGCGTTAAGAAAAGGTACCAATATATGTCTCTTTTTTTTAAAGATCTGGGTCGCAATGCTTGTAAATCAAACTAAACTTCCCGATATAACTAACCATGATAAGTTCCTAACATAGTAGTATTTGGACTAAGGCGATTCGCGAATTGTAACTTTATTCTAGCAAGACCTGGAGCTTTTGTTTAGTTTTTTTCTGGGGTTTTTTCTTTGGTAAGTGTAAGCATACACGTGTAAACTGCTTCCTAATGCTAATTTGTTTGAGCGGAATTATTATGTGAATAATGTGTGGACTTATTTGAGTGAATTTTGGGATGTGGGCCAGGAGAACTGAAGAAAAGGTACCTAAATGTAGAAACAACTATGAACATTTTGTTTCCAAAATCAAAAGAATAAAAAACAAATTAAGCTAGAGGTAAATTCAGTACATTCTGGATATTACTGTAATGAATATCACAGTAATCACATATTCACATCTTGCAAGTTGGTCCATGTAATGTAACTTTATTGTAGTAAGAACTAGGGATTCATTTTCTTTTATGGTTCTTCCTTTGTTGAATCTTGCACACATGTTAACTGTTTCCTATGGTCGAATACAAAGGTGTCAGGTAAGTTTGTAGATTTTGAGACAAATGAACATCCAGATCAACACACACGCACACACACTTGCCACTCTGAAGAAAAATATTTCTTTTGATTCTTTTTTGGTTAAATTTTTATTCCTGTGCCAAGCGTCAAATTTCTCTCTCAAATTTCCAGCAGAAGGCAAGAATTGTTTATTTGGGAACCCTTTCCTAGAGGATGTCAAAACTCTGACCATAACTTTTCTTTTCAAGGCAGAATAAAACATGGTTAATGAAGCATTATGTTAGCTATTTCTATTTTGTTACACATCTCCTTTCTCAGAAGGTATTCGCGAGTCGTCTCTAATCAAATAACAACAAACATACCCAGTGTATTCCCACAGGTGGGGTTTAGTGAGGGTAGTATGTATGCAGACCTTAGCCGTACCTTGTGGAGATAGAGAGGCTGTTTCCGATAGACCCTCGGCTCAAGAAAAGCATTTCAAAGCAGGTTTGACATGAGTCGTCTTTAACCAAATGTGATTTTTAATTTATTATATGAGTATCGACTTTAGATGGGTTGAAGCTGGTTATATCATAATATTTTCAGCATTTCTTGTCATAATTTCCTTGCTTTTTTACGTTATGATTGTAAATTCTGGTTTAGAAGATTATTTCTTTTGATATCAGGTTATTGGGGGTTATACCTTGTTTGCGTCCAACTAGGCAGCTATCTTTTCTTTGGAAAACCTGGAGATGCTCTGTTGAGAACAAACGATTGGGCAAGGATTAGAGTCTGGATTCTTTGTCTTCTACTCTGGTTTGAGTTTCCTCTATGGAGTATCTTTTTTGTCTGCTTCTGTGAATGTTTGCTGCCTTGATATATAATTGCTGATATTTCTAAGCTTGTTGCTTTCTCTTCACGTTGCCAGGTTGTTGACAGTTTTTCTAGACATGCACGTTGAGAGGGTTTCTCGCAGAATGGTAGTGTATTCCTCTTTTTGTTTTCAGTAGAAAATATCTTAGTTTTCAGTGTAATCTTATGGCAAGATGACTAATAAACTCTTTTAACAGTGCAACCTGGCGTATGTTACTGTAGTATTGGCTATGAACCTTCAGGTAAGATTCATATAAATTCATTCTTTATTGTATCTATTTAGATGCAATTGAAGTTTCTTTTTCATAGTGAGAATGTGGAGCGCTCTCTTCCCGGAGGCTCCTTTTGTTTGCTTCATTTTTTTTGTGAGGAAGGTAACAAATTATACTCCATTAGCACAAAGGCAGTACTAAGAGCCATATTTACAATTCACAAAAAGAGCACAAAAAGTTCCCTAGTTCTACCAATTCCCCTTTACACCAAAAGTGAAATAAAAACAAACAATTCTTCTTAATCTTCTCGATATTGTTGCCTATATCCTCAAAAAATCTTGAGTTTCTTTCCTTCCAGATGGTCCATCAAACACAAGCCAGAACAGCACTCCACCATTCTTTTGTCTGACCACTCCTTCACAAGCAAGCCAGGAGAGTTCCAGTTGATTTAGGCATTATCCATTTCAACCCTTTTATATTCAAAAAGATTTGCCAAAGTTAATCTGTGATCCGACAATGCAAAAAAAAGATGGCTGTTGCTCTCAGCTTCCCTTCCACATAAGTAGCATCTAGAGCAAAGCCGCATTCCCCTTCTCTTCAAATTCTCTTGTGTTAGACGAGTATTCTTCACAACCAGCCAAACAAAACATTCAACTTTGTATGGTATTTTCACCTGCCAGATGTGTTTCCAAAGCCACAATCCAACCAGCTAACCACTATGGTTCAAAGTTGTGTATGCAGATTTTGTTTGCTTAGTTGTTGTAGCTACTCATTCATCTACGCAATGTTTTATGTTCCAAGGTGTAGTTGGAGTTGTTTCCAGTTCTAGACATGTGAAAGGAGTCTGTGCTTGCACACATACATGTGACTCTTATTGGATGATGGAGTTTTCTCTCTTATAATTCATAGGTTTTCTGATGCCTTCTCTCATCATTTATGCCACGATAAAGTGCAAAGTGGGGAAAAACTTGGACCAAGTGTATTAAGAACGATTTCCAACAAGTTTTGATCGGAGATAGTGAGACTAGATGGAGAGTATGTCGATGAAATGCTCAATACAAATTACACGGATGACTTAAATGATCTTCATAAATGTGTGACAGATAGAACGCTTAGCTAAATTCATAGATAACGTATGTTGAAGTAAAGTATATCGTGGATTATTTAAGGGTAGAAAGGTTTGTGGTCCAATTGGTATCCTTATAGAGATTTTGAAGTGCCTTGGTGAAGTTAGAGTGGTGGCTAACCAAGCAATTCAATGCTATATTAAGGAAAGAAAGATGCAAAATGAGTGGAGAAAGAGTAGATTGGTTCTAATATATGAGAACAAAGGAGATAAAGATGTGCGAACGGTTGTGGTATTAAACTTATGATTATACAGTACAACTTTGCGAAAAGAGTGATGGAGCATGGATTTAGGGACATAGACGTGGCTGAGTGAGTTTATTCTTGGTAGTTTGATAACAGCAAAGATTGGTAGAAATTTTAGAGGAAGAAAGATATCTACATGAGATGCAGTGAACTACGGAAAGCATATGATAGAGTGCGAATGAAAGTCCTTTCCAAAGGATCCATATCAAATATAAGTGGTATTAAAGATATTTACGAAAGAGCAGTTACAAGTATGAGAACAGTGGGAAGAGATGCAAAGAGATTTCCGTTAACCCTGGTTTACACAAAAGATCTTCCTTGAACCCGATACCTAACAAAGTGAAAGCAAAGTCTACACATTGGTTATGGGACCAACGTTATACACTAGTATGTGTAGTGTCTCAGGGATGCAATATATCCACAAGATAAATGTCCTAGAAATGCACACGTTAATATGGATACGTAGTTGAATTCAAAACAATTATATCGGATAGAGGGTGCAAGTAGCACATAAAGGATAAATGAAAGAATGTCATTTGTAGATGGTTTGATCATGTACTATGTACCTCAAATAAGTTGGTTTGTATGTGTGGACTATGATGATTGAAGGTGCAAAAGGAGTATAAGGTAGACATAGAATCACATGAAAGGAAGTTGTCCTAAAAAAACATAGGATTTGTCGGGAATATTTATGTTTTGGTTAGAAACTTGTATGTCAGTGTCGAAATAAGTGTAGGATTTAGAGAACCTCTTTTTTTTTAGAGAATTCTTAATTGCTTTAAAGACAACTATGTATGTACCAGTATCAGAATGAAATGGATACAAATAGAGAGGAGTGGATTTAAAAGATTCATTTAGCTGATCAGAATGGATACAGATCATATGTTTGACCCCCCAACTAGTATGGAATTGAAGGATTATTGATTAATTGATCACTCATCACTTATTTCAGAACTTGATAAATCAATTGAAAGTGGAAATCCAAGAGATAATAAGAGATTGAGAAACAAAAGTAGCTTTGAGCTCTGTGAAAATAATAACTATTCACACAAAGAGTTTCATCACTACTTACTAGAATAGCATGGACCAAACTGTGACTTGTAAGGAAGACTAAACTCTAAATTTCTCCAATAAGTTAATTAGTTTGAGGTCATTTGTGCAGTTTAGTGAAAGGACGTCTTTTGAGTAATACGACAAAATGGATGTCATTGAGCTCAGGACTGGAGGATAGATGGTTACTTCTTGTCTGTTCGGAAATGCTAATTTTATTTCACTTTTTGTGGTAGATTGACCACATTCTTGAGTTAAGTAGGACGCTTATAATTTTTCTTCTAAGATTGAACTCAATATACGCTTATACAAACTAAAAGTGTTGTTTTTCGAAATGTTGCGAACGTATTTCCAAAAAGTTTGGTAAAAAGTAGATTCACTTCCCAAGAAAGAACTTCTGGATTACTTGAGTAAATTTCTCTTGAATGCAATGATGCATAATTTCATAATGCAATTCTGATTCAGTATAATGTTTCATTTCTTTTTTGATTTAGGCATGGCTCAACGTTTCTCTTTTTCAGGTTTTTGCAGTTTTAACTCTAGCTGATTATGTACCTGGATATAAAGTTGCTGCGTTGATAGAAGTTTTTGACCGAAACTTACTGGGCTCTTTTCTTCTGGTGAGAAAAATTTTATTGCTGACATCATCATTCTATAATGCTTTCTGTTCATCCTTTGATCTCTGGATGATCAGATCAGTCACAAAATCGTCATTTGATCATGCAGGCTAACGTGCTAACCGGATTGGTTAACCTGTCCATTGATACCCTCTTTGTCTCACCATTCACTGCACTTGCTATCTTGGTTGGATATGCATACATTTTATCTATTGCTGCAGCAATTGCACATGTTTGTGGTATTCGATTGAAGTTTTGGTAGGGGAGCTTAGTCTAGTGTACTCTAGTTTCATTTTTTAACCCATCCTCCATTACATTACTCTTCTTATTGTTATAGATCCTGTGTGTCTACATTAGAAATACATACACTCTATTTCTGCTCATTAGAAATGCTCATCGAGAAGTGTATGAGAGAAACGGGCGAAACTCACATGAGCATGTTATCGCGGCCTAAATCATATGCTCTTGCTGTGTTGCAACAGCCAAAAGGGGAGCATGTGTGACAAGAAGCAACAGAGAGAGAGACCTCAAGCCCTTTTTAGCATTCTTTGTGCATAAATATCAAATACTTGGGCAAGAAAAGGAAGCCAAGCTCAATACCCATTTGAGAAACGGAAAAGGGTTAAAAATGGCCCTAAACTATTGGAAAATGTTTTAAAATATTTTTAGCCCAATAGGTGGATGAAAGGGTATTTTTAAACCTTTTCCAATAGTTTAGGGACATTTTTAACCCATTTCCGTTTGAGAAATTACTAGTGTTAATAATATTTACTTCCGTCCCATTTTATGATACTTTTTGCTTCTCAAGATTCTGACTATGTCGAACTATCTTGGTTAGTAACCTTCATAGTTTGAAAGTTCATCCACCGCTTCTTGGTTACAAGGTCATCTATAAATTTGGCATGATCGGACGTTTGCTCCAAAGCTTTCACCAATGGTAATTAATAGATAAACCCTTCAATATTTCATTGAAACTTTGATTGGGTTTCACCATATTTGCATAGCTAACCTTTGAGGATAAGAAGGGGGAGGCTTTGGCAAATATGCCTTAGCCTTTTGCACTACCAATTCCAAACCAATAGATACAATTCCCGAAGTGTCCTCCCTTACCGCCTCCTCCAAAAGGAAAAAAATAATAAAGGGAATATTAAACTCGTGCTACAATCTTAGTTTTTGGCAGGTAAAAGAAAATACCATGTTGCATATTGTCATGCAATCTGTGAGAAATTCGCAGAATATATTCATTATTAGCTTATTGCTAGAATCTTAGTAGGCATTTAGACATAAAAATTGTAATTTTGAAAAAAAATAGTATTTGAAGTTAAGTTGAAAAATGATATTTGAAATTTATAATTATGTTTGGACATGCATTTCACCTGAAAAAATGTTATAGTTTTTGTGAGTGAGGAAACAAAAAATTCTGAAAATTTTGACAAAAATTCATTTTCGAAATATTTTCAAAAAATTTTAAAATTTCATGGACAAACACGTTTTTTAAAAAATAAATTCAAAAAAAAGGAAAAAATATCTATGAGCAAACAGGTCCTTAGTTTTGCCAAAACTAACAGAAACATGGGAGCCTCAACTAGTTTACCATTTTGCCAAATAACCTTTGCCTTATTCACTTCTTCCAATTCAAAAGTCGAGCAACCCTTGAACAGATAGATCATACAAGATTCTTTACATATTAAGCATACATTGATTAAAAAACTGATAAAGCTTGGTCATGTCAGATCAGACTATAACTGGAAGAACTTTATATCAATAACCAATTCGACAACCACCAAATGATATTAATTTCACAATAATTTCTCGTGCAAAATATTTCCCTATTCAAGAATTCAACTAACTGAGAATTACCATCTATCCCGTCACTATGTAAACACAGAGAGTCGTCCCACAAGTTAAATGGCTCTGAGGATAATTAAATGTCGAAAGCTGGAAATGTAAACAGTTCCACTATCCAAATCATTTTCTTGCAGTCTCCAAGTTAAAGTCCTGAAGGTTAAGTAACAGATCATCGGCACTCAAGTACACCTTGTTCGCTGCATGTGAAATAGTCTGGGCAATCTCTCTTGCTGCTTCGATTTTCCTGAGTGTGATAAATGCCGGATTGTTGGCAATCGCTTGACCAATCAGTTGGGCACTCTTAGCCTCACCCTGCAGAACAAATAGGAATTCAATACTACTGCACATAATGTTTCTCTATCCCCCCTCCCTCCCCAAAAAAGTTATAGTACTCCCTCCGTTCCAATTTATGTGAGAGGGTATTTGACTGTGACACGGATAAAAACTTCTGAAACTTGTGGTGTAAAACAAACCAAAGAAATTTGTGTGGCTATAAATATCTCTTTAAGGGTAAAATAGGAAGTTTAAAGTTGAATGGACTGACTAAAAAAGAAAGAATATCACGTTAATTGGGATTGAGGGAGTAATGAATAAAACAGAATGGAGAATTTAGCCTAAAACGATTTTCTATAGTATAGTTTTCTGTTCTTATTTATTGATAGCTATAATATATATGTGATATGTTGTTACTGTATGAATAATACTATTCAAGCAGCAAATGCCAAACTCGAACGGCCTGGAGTTCAGAGGAATCATGTGCTAGAGTGAGAGTGACGCATAAAAGACATCAACATAGCAGCAGATAAATGATAGGCAGTGGAGTGACTAAAGTTTAAATTAAACTAGAGATGTGAAGCAGGGAACTTATATTGACCTGAGCTCTGATAACAGCACTTCGCTTATCTTGCTCAGCTTTTTCCACAACAAACTTTGCTCTCTCAGCTTCTTGAGCAGCCACTTGTTTTGCTTCAATTGCAGCTGTAAATTCCTTTCCAAAGGTCAGGCTTGTTATGGACACATCATCTAGAGCAATGTTGAAGTTGGCTGCCCTTTCTGTCAAGATCTTCCGTATTTCTCTGCTAACGTTCTGCAGAAAGTGCACAATATTGGCAACACTTGGATGGTATCTATTAACAAAAACATTTTAAAAATTTCATATCTGTTGAAATAGAAGATTTGCAGTCTATTTTCCCTACTTCAGAGAGGGAAGTAGTGATCATGTAATAAGCTTCAACACAATGGCCTAATCACACTTAAACAAATAGTACATATGAGAGATATTGCCAGTTATAGAGTAAATTATTTCCACCTAGAGCGACATCAGCCAAGTAGTTTTAGCATTTTGCACATACCTCTCTCTGGGTGATGAGCTGACTAGCATTGTACTGGGCAACCACAGCTTTCAACGTTTCATGAATAATTGAAGGCAGGACCCTTTCATTGTAGTTTTCACCAAGAGTTCGGTAAACAGTGGGTAGTTCGTCTGGAACTGGACGAGTGAGAACTCTAAGCCCAATTTTCACCTGTGCAATAAATCAGGGAAAAGATCATTATATTAAATCCCATACTTCTAAAGGGCAGCCTGGTGCACTAAGCTCCCGCTATGCGAGGGGTCCGGGAAAGGGCCAGACCACAAGGGTCTATCGTACGCAGCCTTACCCTGCAAATCCCATACTTCTAAAAGTCTAAAAACTTTCTCTATCTAAGATTAAGCAAAACCTTATTATTATCATTGTTACAAATGCCCCCCTTTTTTTACCCTATATCTAGTTTTGTTTTGTTTTCATCCTAAGAGATGAGGGTAAAACAAGTGTTCAGAAAAAAAAATTACCATCTGAAGGTCACGACTTCCCGAAGTGCTTTCCACAAGGTGGGGTCGTGCACGAACATCATAAATGACTGGCCTTTCAAACCAAGGAATCATGAAGTGTGTCCCTTCTGGATAAACCTGTTCATAAATAAGTCAGCAAAGATTATCAAAAAGGAAAGGCAAAAACAAAAAGAACAAAGCAAAACAAAATAAAAAAATTTTGCACGCAGAAAACAGAGGAAAATCATCTCTTAGAGTCATACAACCCCACAACCATCTAACACAAACATTTGAGTATATAGCAAAAAATCAAGAAGAGCTATCAATATCTTTTCATATATTAAAACAAATACTATACGAGCATTGCCTGCAAAAGGCTCCGAAATTCATCTCACTTAATAAGTATCTTAGCTTGACATGGATAACATGGACATAATTTTGGAGTGACGGTTGCTAACCAAAAAACAATCTTAGTAGTACTGAGAAAAAGTCGTCTTGGTCCAAAAGAAAAAAAAAAAGACAAGATTACCTTATCTTTAACACCAAGAATACGGTTGAAAACAATGGCACGATGCCCGCCCTCAACATTGTATAGACTGTTGGCAACTCCATACACACCAAGACCAGCAACAACTCCCAATTTGATCAAAGCAGAAGCTGCACCACCACCTGGCATCTTGGGAACCTTAATATTGTTGAGATTCATCTTGCCAATCCTGAAATATACTAATACAGTCACAATTTCTGTTAACCAAAAAAAAAAAAAAAAGGCAAGCAAGCACACAATCAGACAGAGACCCCTTTTGATTGGTCACAGCAGCAAAGCTAAGAATTTTACAAAGTGATTCAAAAAAATTTCTAGAATGTCATAATTGGGATTTGAACCTATGACCTAGAGCAACTTTTG